CAAAAAAAATAGATAAGACACCTATTCAAGATTTTGGGTATAGTTTGTGCACTTATTTTGGTATTAAACCCATAACAAAATAAAACGATGAGTTTAGGAAAGATATTTAAGTTATGTTAATATTTGAATTATAACTATAGAAAATTAAAATTATAGGGATCAAAATAAAAACTTTAAAAAGCTTTAAAAATATGTGTAATTTTTAGTTTATCCTTACTCTCATATATGTATGTATGTGTGTATGTGTGTTTTCAAACTATCAATAGACTATATGACGTATGTGTTTAAATTCATTAATTGAAGTTAAGATTTATCTTATTATTGTTCAAAATTATTATGTGAATATTTGATATTTTATGTTACTATTATTCGAAGCTATAATTTATCTAATAATGATATAAAATGTTACTTATATCATTGATGGCTTAAATGATCATTTTACATTTTTTGATACTTTATAACTAAAAAATATGAGTCATAATTGTCTTGACATACCATAAGATCGTTAACGTTAATATGCATGTTGTACGTGGTACGAGTAGTATTTGTTAGATAGATGTTCCTTCATTTTTACTGAAAGAGCGGATTGATTGTAACAAAACTTAATTAATGACTTGATTATATTTTTTTTAAATTATGTGATTAGTTTACAACTTTACTAATAATTGGGTGAGCTGAGATGTATTTTACCCAAGGGTTAACTACACAGATAATCACTTATGTTTGTGTTTTGTCCGCTTTTAGCCATTGATTTAAAAAACATAAGATATGATCACTTTTATTTTTATTTAATTAAGATGTGATCATTACGGGTTAACTGTTGTTAACAGATAAGAAAATATGTGACGTGATAGTTGGTATAATCACATATTTGATCCTTATTATTTATATATTCTCTCATTCTAGTCATACTTTTAAATAAATTTTAACATAAAATATATTTTTTAAATGAAAATAAAAATAATATTTTTAAATTAAGTTAATAATAAAACATATTTAATAAGTTAATATAAAAAATATTATGAATTTAAGTATTTATACACTAAAATATAAAATATATACACCATGTTGTCTATTTTAGACTAAGAGGTGGTCTTGGCTTAATAGTTTGATACATATTTAATTTTTTAAGTGACCAAGGATTGATTTTTTTTGCCTCAATTTGATTTCTTTTGTTTTCTTTCAACTAGAGGGTGATACATGTCACCCTTTGATCGATGAAAATAAATATATTAAATTATAATAAATTAGTCTTTCAACTGAATTGTAACATGTGACATGACATATAACATTATTTGATTGAAAGATTAAATTTATTTTAATCTATTAAAAGTATGAATTAATTGAGAGAATATACAAATAATATTGATTAAATGTGTAATTATATCAAAATATTTAATTGTTTTTAACTATTGTTAACTCGGGGTGATCGCATATTGATTAAATAAAAAGAAAAGTGATTACATCTTATATTTTTTAAAATCGATTACGAGAAATTAACAAAACATGAATATAAGTGATAATCCATGTAATTAACCCTTTACCCATATAAGAAATGACCATATAGTTTAGTCATTTTAGTAATCATCCATAGATGAATCAATTCATTGAGTTAGCTGATCTCTCGATCTCGTGCTCATTATTCTCACAGAGGCAGCTACAATTAGAAATGGAGTAATGGGTGGGATTCTCAGAGAATAATTAAGGTACACATGTATTTGGTTTTCAGAGCTTATTTTCTCAATATAAGTCTCAATCTTCACTCTGATTCTTTATATAAGATCCCATAGCTCAAATAATCTCAAAATTCACTGTCTGACAGACAATTTATAGTGAAACAAGTATAGAACTTGTGTTTGATCTTTTTCGAGTGAAGTGAAATTGAAAAGATTTTATGTTCTCATTGTTTTAAATCAAAAACGAAATTAAAAAGTTGTGGGATTTGATAATGAACAATGATTATTAACTGGGTTAGCAAGCTGCGGCTGTTTGGTTCCATTTATTTTGCAAATTGTGAAAAAGCTTATTTGCTTTAATATTCTGATTGGTGAATTTCGAAGGAGAAATTGAAAAGGTTGTTAGAATAGAACCCAGAATCTGGAAATGGAACACAAATCACCTTCCAAAGTTAAGTTCCCAGCTAAGGAATTCAATCCATGGAAACGAGTCTTGATTTTTTTTTTCTGTTGGATTTCTCATTCTGTTATCTTCTATTGGTGTTTATATAGCATTTAATTTCGTGAAGGTTCGAAATGTGTTAGAGAGTTCGTACTATACTGTTGTAGTGCATTGTGGAAGCACCGGAACACGAGTGAATGTATTCGAGTGGCGAAAAAGGGGTTTAATTAGTCACGGGCTGCCTTTTTGTTGCACTATTATTCAGATGATTTGACCGAGAGTCAATCCTGCCACTATCATTGCATGCAGACTGAGCCTGGTTTGGCAAATTTGTCGGTAATGCTTCATGAGTTAGGGCTTCTTTAGAACCGATGATTGCGTGGGCGGAATTGAGGGTGCCTCGTGAAAGACATGGAGATACTCCCATTATTGTTTTAGCTACTGCTGGGCTGAGAAGGTTGGTTACCAGGGATGCTAAGCAGGTTCTGGATAATGTAGAGATTGTTCTAAGGGAACATTCTTTTGTGTATACTAAAAACTGGATCAGGGTTCTGACTGGTAAAGAGGAGGCCTACTATGGTTGGATTACTATGAACTAGGATCTACCTTTGGACTTCTCGATCTAGGAGGTTCATCGTTGCAGGTTGTGGTGGAAGTGGCTGACGAGATTGACAACGGAAATGCCATGACATCAGATATTGGTTCAACCAATCATAAGATTCTAGCGTACTCATTGCCAGCATTTGGTTTGAATGAGGCATTTGATCAGACAGTGGTCATGCACAGTCAAAATCAAGCGGATGGGAGAAATGCCTCTAACAGACTAGAACTCATTCATCCTTGTCTTGGTTCTAACTTTTTGCAAAATTACACTTGTTCTGGTTGTGCTATGCTAAACATAACTGATGATTTGGAAAATTCTGAAGTTCAATTTTATAAAAATCGATTTTCTTCAATACATTTGATTGGAGACCTAAATTGGGAGCAATGCAAGGAGCTTGTGAGGGCGGCTGCAATGAAATATAGCGATTCAGATTGGTCAGAGCACAAAATTGATAGAAACTGTGAAGCAAATTTATCTTCTTATGGTGGTAAGTTAGAAACATGCTTTGCTTCTTTTTCTAATACAAAATGTACATTTGATACCCTTATGCCTTCATCATCATTGATCTGTTGATTCCACTGTATTCATATAACTAAAGAACTCTTAATTTAGTGGTAACTGCTAAAATACAAAAGGTTAGGCAGTTTGGCTTGGTTTTGTTTAATACATTTGGTATCCATAGTGTTTTTCTTTGAAGGATAATATGTTGATTTGATTTAACCATGAAATAAACTTCCGATTCGTGTTATTCTTATGAAATGAACTTGTTATTGGAAATAGTTGGTGGTTATTAGTTAGACAATGCTTCTGAGTTTTTGAAAGAACACTCCTGAATCTTTTTGTGCAATTCTCATTAACCCGTTTCGTCATGTGCAGAAGATATAACATGTCTATTCCTCTGTTCCGAAAACAGTTGATTTTAAATATCATTGTAATCATGGTCACAATTCACACTTGCTAATATAGTAAGTGCAAGCATTGCTTATTGGTTAATCTCACTGGCTTATTAGATGTTTTCCTTGGTTCTGTTTGCACATAATAGATCTTGATAAGCATTTCCCTTTCTCTTAGATATTTGGCCTACTCTTTGGTCGGGATTTATATGCCTGTTACAATCATTAATTTTTCCACAGGTAGCAACATACCAAATTTGACACCCGTTACCCATCACAGCGGACGTTTTCATGCTTTATCTGGGTTTTTTGTTGTTTACGACATGTTAAACCGGAGTACAAGAGCCAGTGTGACAGAGATTTGGGGGAAGGGTGAGCAGTTATGTTCATCATCCTCAACCGAGTGGAATATCGATCTCCAAAGACAAAAGTACGCTGGATACTATTGTTTCCGGGTGTCTTATGTAGCATCAGTTATTGAAGATGCTTTATGCCTCGGCAACGCAGAGATATTGTTCGGCCCAGGCGGCCTTTCGTGGACGTTAGGAGCTGCACTAGTTCATTAGCTAAATGCTAATGAAGCTCTTGCAAGCATTTCAACCATAAAAAACTTGAAGATCTCATCCACTGTTTTCCTTTTAGTTATACTGCTCACCCTTTTCCTTGTCGTGTATTGCAGCCAAATCAAGCTGCCTATGCTCGGCAGGAAGATTTCCAACGTCGGGGTATCGTTGCCATCTTACTACGTTCATGCAAGACGCGGACCGAATTGATATCGAACATGCCCAAATTGACATAGCACTTGAGTAATTGTTGTAGTTAGTCTGATTGTACAACCAAAACTCATTCATTCATTTGTTAGCTCGGAAGTTTCTTTGAAGAAACTATTATATAAGTTGTAAAAGAATCCGGCATTTTGTTACGATAGGTTTGGATTATATAAATGCCTATACTGCATTCTTGTTGAAGTTGAGATTGGTGTTTAATTAGGACAAAAGAAGAGGGTGATTGAAATGGGTGTAAATAAATCGAACTCGGACAAACAAAGTTATGATCATGTTCGTTTCTTTATCGTGTTTGTTTATTTATTTTTGGTGTTTATGTTCATGAACATAAACAAACCAAATACCTATATTCATGTTCGTTCATTTATTAAATGAACACCAAATACCTATATTCATGTTCGATCATTTATTAAATGAGCATTAAATTTAGTTAATACTCATTTATTTAGCTTAATAAACAAATATTATACAAACAATTTGTTGAACACTTTGTTCATTCACTATGTTCATACTCATTTATTTAATAAACGAACATTATATGAACAATTTGTTGAAGTTTATTTAAACCCAGTGATTGATTAGGGTGACAAAGAGAATAGCTTATTTAAACATACAATAGCGTTTAGATTACATTAATGATATACAGAGTTTTAGCATTATATAATAACACAAACCATAATACAATATGATTAAGTTTTCAAATATGTTCAGTTTCACACACAAGAAGCCAACCTTGTTAATAATCTTTCAAAAGGTAGCTTTTCCAGCAAAAATGGAAGCATCAACATCCACCCACACTTCATTGAGTCTGCTAAAAAGATGGAACGGTGGATCATACTGAGCAATAGAGTAAGCGTAGTCTGTGGAAGTAGTAGAGTTGGCCCATGGAGACAAGCTCAAACTAGTACCCAGTTTCTCAGCCTCTTTAACCACCGTATCATCCGTAGCAAATCCTGAGAACTTCCTCACGGCAACAAAGTGAGAATCCCATGTGTAAGGTCGCAAGTTCAGCTCCGGGAGTGGCGTCGGTGGACTGTCCTGGAACTTGGCCGGCAAGTAAAATCGGATAACGTAGGCCGATGAGTGCAGCGGGCCAGCTCCAGGGATTAGGCTTGTCACCACCGGAGATGTCATGGCGACTCGAGAAAAATTCAGATTCGCACCCTGTATGAACTGGAATAACCTATCCCACAAGGAAATTAAATGGAAAAAAACAAAAATTAATTGACGGGGAATCGATACCAAGAAGACAATTGTAAAATTAGTTGAGCACCTGTGGAACCCAAATAAGGTGGCTCTTTGGAAGGAGAGGTCGTTGACGGTGGCGGACATCCACGTGGCGCCTCGGTAGTGCCTGATTTCGAAATCGGATTCGACGTGTACCACCTCGTACTGCGGCGATTCGGTTGCCCGGCAGAGCACCAGCAAACATAGCAGGTTTATCACCGTGATCGAAGCTTTCGCCATTGTTTTTCCCTTCAGTTAGTTTTTCTCTAGTTGGTTGAGTAAGACGTTCAGTATTTAAAGGAGAAAACAGAAAGTTGATAATAATAGGGGTGTGCCGTGGATTTACCGCTTTGTCCCTCATTGGTCAGTTGACACGTTTACCAACACTACGTGGGTTAACTCTTCTACCACCGAGAGTGATGTATATTATTATTATTTGATTATTTAATTAATTTTTATTTTAAAATTGTATCTAAAAATATATTTTGATTTCATTTCAACGAAATTTATACTGTATAAATATATTTTAATTAGGACGGGGTTTTGACTGGACCCGATCGGATTGTGTGTGTGTTTTTTTAAAATTTGAGTTTGGGTTGGGTCGGATTGAGCTTTTTAAAGATGATGTTCGGGTTGAGTCGGATTTAATTTTAGGGTGAAAAATATTCGACCCGACCAAAAAAAATATAATTTCACAATATATATTTAGAAATAATTATAATAATACCCTCTATATATTATTATTTTTAATTAAATCACAGTTTTTATTGAATAAAAATAATATTTTTTATAATTTGGGGTTGAATTTCGGAATCAGATTTTATTTCAAAAAATCGAATCGAATTTAAATCGAGTGAAGAATATATATTTTACGAACCAGATAAAGAGTGCAAAATTTTCAGGTCGGATCGAATGGACCGAAATCCGACCCACGCTCATCCCTAATTTTAACCCCTTATTAATCATTTCGGATATGGTTGTGGATCAAAATTAGGAAAGACTGTTAACGGGGCAGAAGTCAAAGGTAGATTGAAAAGTTTTATTCCAAAGATTAATTTTTTAGTTTCTGCTGAAACGGAATGAACTGTGATCCCAGGCCTACTACTGTTTAATTGATGAAGCAGCAGTAGAATGGCGTTTCCCATCACAAAATTTGAAACGAACAAGTAATTCATTCATTGCCAGCTACTTCTAGGGTTTGGACTTTGGAGTTTGACCCTCTCTACTCGGGCGCATGGTCAGAGTTCATCTTCTTTGTCTCTTCATTGAATTGAAAACTTCGAATTCTCTTCTCCTCTTTCCGTTTTTTTTTAATTTCTGACGATTGATTTTCTGCTTTCTGCTTTATCTTTGATTTGATTCCTAATTTCCGAGATGCTTTCCTGATTAGCTGCAACCTTCACTACATTCAATTATTATTGTTATTAAAGCTGCTTGTGAATCCAATTCACAATTCTCTACTTTTACACTATTCTTCTGAATTTTGCATGCAAAACCATCTATGATTGTTTTGTAATGGAAAGCCCATCCACTATTTAACTACTTGTGCTCTTTGCAATATGAAAAGGTAATGAAATTTTCTAGTTCTTGTGGCTATCTTGTGATTCACTTGCTTTTGGTCTGTTTGCTAATTCGCCTTTCATTTTTATTCATTATATAAAAAAATGGTTTTGTACATTTGTTGGATGCAGAAACTACTGGACTTTTGACCTATCCCCTCTCCTTCTTCTGATAAGGGACAACAAGGTGCCTAAGTGCATCATTTTTTAAGGAAAAAAAGTCGAAAATCTTTTGGAGAGTTGTAGTTAAGAGTCCTTTGATGGCGCTCGTGAGTTGCCTACTACTTCTGCTTTGTTGGTTGGACATTTAATTATTATTTTTTTTTTCTATATTGCTTTGCGTATTGCAAATGCATACACATATCGGCTTCTTTTGTAACACATGGCTGTGTTTATTTACTTACGCAATTTACTTCTATGATCTATCAGATTATATTGGCAACTCTTTGCACTTTCATGCTGGAAATAAGTGATTTTATTGTGGAATTTGACTAATTTTGCCTGGATTGACAGATACAGTAACTCTAAGATATGGGATGTCTGGTTTCAACTCCAAAGGACTATTGGGGAAGTTTCTGTTTATGTGCCAGGCTTACGAATTCCCAAGCCTGTGGACTTCTTTCAATCACTTGGTGGTCACTTGTCAAAGACATTAGTGGAACGCCTTACTGCCTTGAGAACTCGTATAGTTGTCATGGCCAGCCAAGAAGCCCCTACAGTTACAAGGACAAGGAGGAAAACTGCTACACAGCATGGGTTGTTGCAGGCAAACCTGGTTTCCTTATAAAAGTTTGTAGCAAGCATTTCACTGATATTTCAATTGAACATATTGTCTGCAGAGGGTTCAACATTGGCAGATCTTCATCAGGCTCTTGAGGACTACTTGCCTGTTCTTTTAGGATTAGTAACAGATGGTAAACATATTATTAAATTCATTCCGTTTAAAGGTTAATGTGCTGTATAAGGTGAAATATAACATTATGGTTCATTGTTATTATTCAGGGAGACAGCTACAATACAAAGCACAGTTTATTTGGGTAAATCAGCAGGATGATGCTGAGGTGAGACTGTGGTTTAGGCTATTGTTGTCAGCAGGCCTTTTATTTGCTTTTGTTGTTTATTATTCGATCACTCTTCTCTTTGAGTCATACAGATTTGATCTAAAGCATATTTTTTGGCAGGAAACAACAATGCTTAATACTTAGTATGAGGTGCTGTCAGTTCTGCATTTGATGGCAATGTTATCATTTTCACAAGGCAACTTATTGCTTCTTCCAAGGACTTCTGCTGATGGTTATCAACCAAAAGTATCAGAAGGTAGGTTGTAAGAAGAAAGAGAAGATATTCAGTGCTGATTATTCTTTTTGGATGCTATTGACTTCTGTTTTCATTCCTCTCTACAATTTTGTCTTTAAAGTGTAAAAGGTTTATTACTGGAAAATCTGTTGACCATTTCTTCTCAGCTTAGATTTTCATTCTTACTTCTGCTTTAACCATTTTTCCCATGGACCTAATGAGAGGGGACTGCCTTTTTCTCTCAATAAACAGAGAGCAGGCGAGCCTCAATAGATATTTTCTTGAAGGCAGCTGGATACTCGGATTGTGCTGTCAGACATGTTCTTCCCCAATTGCCATCTGAACTTAGGTATACAAAGATGATATACTTGAAATCAAAATTTCTTTGATATATTCACAATGAATTTCTCGCTTTCCAATTTTTGTAATAATTTATTATCTCTACTTTGATTGTAGGAGAAATTTACCAGTAGATCTTGCAGAAGGAGTTCTTCGAGCGCTTTGTTTGCAAGCATTAGGACAGGTAACTTAATCTCCTGCTCGATGTAGGCAATAATTTTTAGTTTCTTGCGAATCAAGTTTACAAATGTGTACTTTAAGGATCCATTTGGTGAATTTATTCTTATAATGAGTGTGAATACATTTTGGTAAGCGAAAACCAGTTCTTTCGTTTTTCTTATATTCCTGTAAACACTGCAGTGACATGTCTGAATACTGATGCATAAAAGTCTTGCTTTTTTATATTTGAATTTTACTTTTTAGTTCTTATAATGTGTGGTTGCGTGTGTCTAGGAAGTAGGAACCAATTGGCATAGACCCATCTCAGGAATTTTTTATTATCTCATGGTTTAATGTTATCTTTATTTAGCGTAGGTTGTTGATATCCAGCTTGGAATGGCAATTGATAGTACCAAGGCCACTCTAGCTGTGAAAAGAAGGCTTGCATGTGAGATGGTAAAGTACTGGCAGCAGGTATGAACGCTCCTTTTGTTTTATCATTTTTAATGTTTTGACCAGCTAAGCACATAAAATCTTGAATTCAGTGTACTTTTTTAATTTGCATGTTTAGGTGAATCAAGAGGCTTACGGTTACACATTCCATTGCCAATCTCATTCATAGGACCAGTTTACCAAAACAGACTTATATTGAATCTCCAAGGATCTACATCCTGAGCTACACTTAATGGCTTCTATATCCTACTTGGCCTTGAGCATCAACCTATAGTTGTCCACGAATTTACACGCAACAAGTCTTAGGTTTCTTGATCATTCCCATGCGGAAGTATGAATGGGTTTGGGTCCACTTGTCTTGATTCATTTTCCAAGATCATATATTATTGTTCAGTTTGTTTGTAGCCCTTGTATCATGTCGATGATACTCTATTTCAAATGTAGTATGAATGAGATTAAGGGCCTTGTCTTACGCATCCATTTTATCATAGTCTCATAACAATCTTTAGCACCAGAAATCATGCTTTGTCTTCATTCTTCACTAAGCATTTCCTAAATCATTCCTCTTGTCTCAATATATTAGTAAAAGCGTAGTTAGTGATTTTCAAATATATATTGATATTTATTTCCATTTCTAACAGGCTCAAGATAATTTTATGAATCTTCCATTATCTAATGGATGGGGTGAAAAGCACCGATATTTTATAAAATGGATATGCATTAAAGCTAAGGTACCTCACCCTTATTTTCATTTCCTATTCTGTTTTGGTCATGAAAACAAAGGCATTGTGTAAATATTCTCCTAATGGTTCTTGAATTTAAATATCAGTTCATGTTATTTTGAAGAAATAATAACAATTAGTACTGAATGTAGCATATCAATCAGGGTTTTAAATAGCGGTCCGCGACCGCGATAGCGCCCGCGAAATAGCGGTAGCACTGCCTTCTGATATACCCACTACGGTCGCAATCGTGGTAAACGGGACATTACTGAAAATGCGACCGCGACCGTGATTTGAATCCCTGATATCAATCAAAGGGATATTTACTAGTCTATCGAGCAGTATGGGATATATTCCCCTTCTAATTAAGAAAGAGATTAGCCAGCAAATTAGACAATGCCATCAGCATGATGAATGAACAGGGAGTGGTACATTATCATGAGACAACTGTGATGGGCAGATTCGGGCAGAATCAAGTGATTGTGAAAAAGGAAGAGTGATGAACATGGATATTGAGTCGAATAATAAATAGGACAAAAAAGTCTTTTTGGGATGCAATAGCGGCAATAATGTTTAAGAAAGAAAGACCCATAGACTGTCACTTGGTTTGCATAGTTTGAGTCAAATTTTCAATAAATGACAATAAATGAGTTGAAGATAAATTTGAAAAGGGGGTCATAGCTGGCTGGAAGTGATGATGATTGGTGGTGAGTAAAATTGGGTAAAGATCCTGGAGTTTGTCTGTAGGAAGAGTTTCACTATTTTGTTATGCTACTGTGCTAGTACTTATCACCTGATATCTTTGAAATGTGTAAACAAGACTGACTTTTCGATATAGTGCTTTATGAATTTTTTACCCAATAAACATAAATGATACATATGTCTTTCCTAAAAGTAGTAATATTTTTTTTTTCTTTTGTCCTTTTGAATAACTGACAGTAGCAATCTTAATGAGCCTACTTCAGATTCAGCTAGTAACTGTAAGATAAATTGGAATGAATTTTGGAAACTTTATTCTTTTACTTGGATTTTAGCCAGTCAAGGATAGATGGATAATACTTGTAAAGCCTCTCCTTTGTTTACTTCTACATTTGTAGGTTTGAGCTGACATTGCTATACGAAATCAACTTGTTAGTCAACATGCTTCTTTTGCTACCATACAATCCTAGTAATTCTTACCATCTTGAGGTTGAGGTTGCATTTCCTGGATAATGGTAGTTATTTAAATACACTTGTTAATTTATGTGAATACAGTCTGCAGCATATTATTATCATGGTTTGATCCTTGATGAGGGAAATACAGAGAAATCTCATGGTATGGCTGTAGCTGCTCTGTAAGCCGCTGATGAATATTTCAAAGAAAGTAAGTGGGCTTGTGAGGCGTTTAATGCAGCTCATCCTTTATCCAGGTAAGTTATATTGGATCATTTCTGGATTTACATTTTTGCTTCCATTCACCCTTTAGCTTTTGGGTGGCCAATTGGCCTTTTGTGGTATGGCATTTACCCAGTGACCACATGCTTGGTTCACATAATAGAATGGATTAGTGGAGTAGAATAGTTATTATATAAACTTTGATTCATTGGGAAGAGATGTTGTGGGAATATTATATTACTAAATTATGTTTGGTTAGTTCAACAAATAGGGTATTAGTGAATGTAAAAGATTAATTATTTAGCCTTGCATAAAATCAATAATAATTTCTGATTTTCTCATAATTAATTCCATAATAATATTTCATAAAATTGCATTTAATTGCTGAATTTTTTAAAGAAAATTTTTCTCCCTTTTTGTTTTTTCCTTTTTCAATTCATTGACCAGCCAATCTTGTTTCCGGCAGCCAGATCATTCCATGGGGGCACCAGCACCCTGTACAACTATATTGCTCTGTGCTTCAGAGTTCAGACTAGTACTTCTGGCAAACTTTTTGTCACTTTAACCTGAAAATCTCATTCTCTGGAGGTGTTGATGGTTTCAATGAAATTTTCTGGTGAAAATTCTCTATAAGGGTGAAAGTAGGGACTTTATTAATAATAATAAATTATAGAGGGGTATTATAGCAATTATCCCTAAATATAGAAGAATATTATACTATTACCCTGGCGGTTTTTTTTACCCTAAATCCAAACCCAACCCGAATCTGTTTTTTTTTTCTTTTTAAAACATGACCCTATCGGGTGGGAACCCGTTGGATTGGGGTCAAATTGCCATCCCTAACCGAAAGACATGGCCTTGGTAATTCTTACTTTTCCCAATATTGTTGGAACAAGTAAATGTCTTTAGTTGACTGGAATTATGTTAATGAATCAATAGTTGATAGGTTCAGTAGTCTTACTAGATTATGACTTTACACTGATATCTAGATAAGTTCCTATAATTTTATTAAACTCGAATAATCCTTTAATCTTTAGTTTGTACCTAAAATGCCCCTTAATATAATCAAAATTTCATTTGCAATATGGGCTTATTTGGATAAAAATCAATGGGTCAAGGATGTTTTTGGTACACATTAAATGATAATGGTGTATTTGGGTCCAAAAATAAGGACTTATTTGAGAAAAATGAAATAGTGTAATGGATTTCTTGGAATTTTAGCCTTTATATTTTCAAAATTAGTCAATGCCTTGTAATAAACTCTTGTATTTTTCATGCTTTTTACTCGTTTATAGTTACACTCAAAGACAAATATCTCCCATCTCGTTTCATTATAATTTATTCCATAACTGAGATCTATCTGATCAGAGAACCTTATGTAGCGTGTCGTCATTGATTTCAAGTTGCACTTTAATGTACTTCATCTAGATTTCAAGTGTAATTTTTTTTCCCTGAGCATTTTGGAGTAGAACTGTCTTAGACCTCCTGGTTTGGCTGAACTGGGTTGCCTAGCGCTTAGAATCTGGGTTTGTGTTGAAAATGTCTTGAAGAATTAATTGAAAGCATTATGGTGTTGTTAGATAAGAAGATTTTATGGCTCATTTTAATTGGAAACAAATCTATATAGTTATTGTAAATTTCCCAATAACGGTAGCCTAGAGATGTATGTTGATTTTGCTACATATGTGAGACTAGTGATGGTGAACTGATGTTTGCCAACACGATTTTCATGTTTCATATATGCTCGATTCGTTTGGACCAGAACTCTATTTTTGCTTTATGCTTGCAAACCTTGCCTTTTCTTCTAGTAAGTCGAGTTTTCCCGACTGCACATTCTGTCTCTGCCAGCAGAAGATTATACCGGCTATTAGTTTATTCGCTGAAAGCATCTTGATGGTTGGTGCAGAAACCCACCTCTTTGGGGAACCATGAAGCATCTATCTGAGAAAATCCCGAAAGACACTTCTAGCAAGGTGCGGATAAACCGTGACCTCTACTTTTATGAAAAGTAAGTGTACGGTTTCTTATTACAATTTTGACGGCAATTATTTTACTTGATAAACAAAATACAATGATCTCGGTGTTGGTTATTCAGAATCATGGAGACGGCTCCAACGTTTCCGGATTTTGCTTTAGCAATGAAACCTGACGAATATCAGCTGCCTCCGGCCGACCCCTCCTGGGACGAGAATGTACAGTTGAGCCACATTGGCATCAACCAGGTAAACCCTGATGAAAGATAAGGAGGGATCCTCATTTTCGACTTTTCGTATCGAAGGGGACGGTTCAGCCGCTAAATATAAGAGATTCATATCAGATATGCAGAACTTGAAGGTGAACGTCTCCAATTGTTATTGTTTGTGTAGGTAGCTGAGGTCCATGCATGCTCTTATAGCTTTTAAATTGAAATTTAAAAAAATATTTTAAATTAAAAAATTGAAATTGAAATGTGCTAACAAGCTATAAACCCGTGAATAAGTTGAAAAAATTCATTTGAAAAAATATATATTTTAAATTAAAAGTTTTAAATTGAAATGTACTCGATATCTAAGTTTTTGAACTTGAATCAAACTGGAGCTAAGTTTAATTGAACTAAATCTTCTGAAAATATTTTGAGTTTAAGATTTTCAAATTTAATTGAATTTTTGAGTCAAGTTAGTATAATTTCGAAGTTACTTTAAGTTGATCTAACTTGAAACTTAACTTTTTGAGTCAAGTCATAGCCTACTGTAAACCGTGAAGCATTAACGGATTCTAGGGAAGCGGAGACAAGGAAACGTTCTCTACTGACTGCACCTTTTTTTATTAACTGCGTACAAGCATACAAGAAAGAAGAGACATTGATGGATTCACAAGGACCAAAGTAAGTAGCTAGGTACCGGCACGGGTTCAAAACGCAAGAACCATTCACTAGTAATCTTCCGGAGCCAAGGGCTGGTGCGTTTGGTGCGCAGGCTCGACAGCCGGGATGATCATGTACTCGTACACGAGACCTGCTAAACCACCGCCTATCAATGGACCAACCCAGTAGATCCAGTGATTGTTCCACCTCCAACCCACCAGGGCCGGACCAAATGCCCTGGCCGGATTCATGGCTCCTCCGTCAAACGGCCCGCCTACTAAGATGTTGGCCGCCACTATTAGCCCTATAGCCAACGGTGCTATCGTCCCCATGCTTCCTCTTTTCGGATCAACCGCTGTCCCGTAAACTGTGTACACCAATCCAAATGTCATCACTATCTCTAGTATCATGCAACGCAGCTCTCCGGTTCCGTAAGCCACCATGAACCCCGTCGGTCGCTGAAACCAACGATAGGTATGATTTTAATTTTAAAAAAAGAAAAATAGATACCTAAACGAAACTATGGAAATAAGTGGGTGACTAAATACGATTATTAAGGAATGATGAATTTATAAAATATTAGGGGGTGAAAACAAATTATCAATAAAAAAAAGTACTGAAAAAAATCTGAAACGTATAAAATTGAATTTAAAATTTTCAAAGAGCTGCGGTAAGTACGATCCTTTCCAGCATCTATATATATATATAGATGCATGCATGAATGATATACCATGCCGGCGGTGAGTCGGAGCAAGAGACAAGCGGCGATAGCACCCAAGAGCTGAGCAAGCCAGTAGTAAAGTGCACGGATGACAGAGATTCTTCCTCCGAGCAAAGCTCCGAAGGTGACGGCGGGATTAACATGTCCACCCGATACATTCATGCTGGATGCCACAGCAGCAAACAATGCCAACCCATGCGCGAGTGCTACCATCACCACTCTTGCAGGCGTCGTACTCGTATCAGTCGTACGACCCTTATACATCTTGTCTGCAACCAGTTTTAAACAATAATCAACAGCTATTAGAAACAAACGGGAACTCAAATCCATCGTGTTTTTGGAGGGTACCGAAAGCGAGAACGGAGCCTTCGCCGGCAAAGACGAAGATGATAGTGGCCAGGAATTCAGCCAAGGCGGCTCTCATGGAGTCGGGATGAGTGGCCTCATCGGCCCTCCCCACTACGTACCTACGAGTTGGCATCTAAAACAAACAATTAGCTGCTGCTATGATTATTGAAAACACTGCTGTAATTGCAAAGAGATGAAGAGGAAAAGCAAAGAGGTTGTGCACTGCATGGAAGTTGATTTGCTTAAATTAGGCAGAGGCAGAGGGCTGTTGGATTTATGTGGGACACTTGGCATCATGTTAACCCATTAACCTTGACACCTACATATCTATGTGTTGCCTTCTCACTAACTCTTTCATTGCCTTTCCTTTTTTTCAAGCATAATATTAAAACTAATACTCAATATTTATTAAAATAACTATTTTAATTTTATTTTCAGAACTTTTTGATTCTTAATATTTTAATATTTATTAAAATGTAATGAAGTTTCCTTCAATATCACTAGTAAACAGTATAAGAAATAGAGAAAATAGGATTAAAGAAGATAGAAAGGTTTCAGTAAGGAACACTGAACCCAGAGAGGAAAATAGTCGCAGCTAAAGGTTTTAACAAATCTCATATCCCATCTCTAGGTTATCCTAATCTATTTATACTGGTTCTTCTGTAATATAAGTAAAATAAAATTCAACTAATAGTGATTCAACATCTTTCCATGGTCCCCTTCGTATGGTCTTTCATAGCATCATTCGATTTTCGATTCATAAATATTGCAGTAGTGTAGGGAAACATCGTTTCAAGGTCCAACAACTTGCTGCAATCGTTTCCCTTGTTTCATCGGGGTCTGTATAGTGGCAACACATATAATCACTGTTATTTTTATATATTTTTATACAAGTGATACGTTCGTCAATTTATTAGATCTAAAGTTCAAGTTCAAATAATTATATCTACAAGATTTTTATGTTATAAATACCTTTCAGTGGCCACAGTTAAGGTCTCAGATGCTCCTTTAAACACCCCTCCAATGCTTTCATATATAGTTGTAATATTTATGTTATATATATTGAATATAATTAATATTTGTAATATATGTTATATTATAATATATATTTTTAATAAATAATTTTTACTTTTAAAATATAAATTATAAATAACCTCAAATGTAGTTTGATGTGATATTAATATTTGTATAGCCTAAAATAATTTTCAAGGAGCTAGAGTTCGATCAAATTTATAGACTAAAATAATTTATCATTATCAAACATATAATTTTAGACATTAAAACAATCGAACCAAAACAATGTTATTTTGATGTGAACTATTTCACCGTTAACGATTCAATGATATAATTGAAACAAAAATCAAAGTTCAATGCTATCACACCCCAATTTGAAGCTTGATTTATAAGTAATTAATTAACTTAATTTTGGGACCATTTTATAAGATTCTGAAAATTTTAAGATAACTTTTTATATATCTAAAAGTTCAAGGACCTATTCCTGAATTTTCCCCTCTCTTATCTACCGTGAGAATAAAATATAAGAGTAGGTGACTGTCACGGTTTTCAAAACGTGACCCGTAGGCATGGTGCCCATGCCTTACCATTTAGGATAGGCACTGTTGAGTTTTGTTTTATAGAACTTAGTTTTATATTTGAGTTGGATCAGATCCAACACCCCCCAAAAAATGCTTTTGCTCGAGCCAAATCCCTAACCCCTAAATTACATTTTAATTCCGTTATATATCCACCAGTTCTCCATCACCTTCCAGTCGTCGTGTTCGTCACTGTCATCATGGAAGTGTTCGTCGTTCAGTCACGAACAAAACCTGACCAAGAGATCACCAAGACTCGTCGTCATTTGCCGTGTAGGAGCCGTCGAAGGCTCGTCGTGACTTCAACTATCGTCGCGATTTTTCCAACGATTTCGTGTCGATCCCGATGCCTTTGAGCTACACCATCATCGCCATTGGGTTCCCCATCGTCGTCCAACCAAAACCCAACCAGTGGGTTACCTCTCCGCTGTTGTGTCCTCTACTGTTCGTTGTTGGGTAAGCCGATCGTATTATTTTATTTATTTCGTTGATGTTTGATTTGATTCTTGGCTTGAAATTGTGTTGAAGTGTTGATTGGAAGCTTGGGGAGGTAATCGGACCATCACTACCTTATTTTTCGTCGATGCACGTGCCCCCATGTGCCGCCCCTACGCGTGGGGTTTCTTTGGAGCTTGGGGAGAATTCCAGAACCGGTCTGGACATGTCCAGACCCCTTGAATCGAGTCGAGCCAAGCTGCGTCTGAACCAATCCATTGACCCTGACCGTTGACCCCGACAGTTGACTTCGACTTTAACCAAGGTTGACTATTGACTTTGATCAAAAAGTCAATTTTTTGAAAAGTAGTATTTTATGTTTTTCGACGTCCTGGGTCTGAATCCGGATGTCCGTTTTGCCAAATTCGAACCCAGTAAGTTGGTTTCCAGCATTTTATCTCCCATTTCGATCCAATTTTCACGTTTAAGTTTCGTTTCCGACGTAATTTGTTTTGCCTTGTATCTGAGATATTATGAGACATCAAAATAAAGTGTGAGGGTGATTGAATAGAGTTTAATTGATTGATCAATATGGCATAAAAATCGAGGTAATACAATACTACCATTTCCATGCTATATGGAACTCGTTCATAATTGATAATTGCATGAATAAAAATTATTGGTTATATGCTTATCGATAATTATTCTGAAACTAGTAATGATACGGTGTTGGGACCGTTGACGCACCCCATGGCGCAGCAGAAACAAAACTCGGCGATCTCACCAGCGATCCAACTGCGAAAAACCGAAATCGGGATGAAGAGATGCGAATACTTACAGCAGGTTCCTTGAAAAATAGCAAGAACAGTAGCGATTAATGGTGGTGTCGATAGATTCAAATCGTAAGCCTCCATGAAATCACGTCTTGACCTCTACTCAGTTCACCCGATTGAGAGCAATATTTGTTTTCCCCAAAACTATTTTGAGAGAAAACGGCTGAAGATTATGTGTGTGTTAAATGGCTGCTACACCTAACACATCCCTTTTATATCCATTACCCTAACATTTTAGCGTTTTTAGAGTTATTTCGAATTAACAATAAAATATTATTTAATTAATTCAATTAAAAATACATTAAAGACTTATAATCTAAATTATAATCTTTAATGTTTATTTAAAAACTTATTTAATTATTCTGAATTATATATATACCAATTAAAAGAGTTGTAATCTAAATTACATTCTTTTAATGCTTACTTATAATAGGGATAATTAAAATCATATGTATATCAAATATACATATCTTAACTCTAGATATATTTTAGTAACATACAACAAATTGTACATTTTTTCTCATTTCAATCCTAGGGTGTGACCTTGTAGGTTCTTGTAACGTTAGTAATAATTATTAGAACAATTCTAATATTACATACAATGAGTGACATCTAGCAATATATCATTGTCACCTAAGTTACAAGAAGTTATGATTCGACATATCATCTTCGTGGTTAACTCTTTTATGTATTACATCATTTTGTCCTTTATATCTAGAATAGACACAAGTCTTAGAATAGCCACTCTTGTATAACCCATCTATTGTTTCTTGATATCTAGAGTAGACTATAATTAACGAATAATTTATGATATCCCATATCAACTTATTCGAGCATGGCCATGCATTTCTAGTCTCACTCAATCAAGTGGCATGTGATATATTTCTCATTATGCAGGAAGGACAAATACTATCTTAACCATATACACCCCACTACATATATCGAGATATATTCAATAACAGTCTTTATAGTGCAACTAGTTACGGAGCATGTTTAACTGTATCAAAACATACAACAATATATGTTGGGATGACATTGATCTCAAGTCTGAGGATCATACATATAGTCATCACCATGAGCAATGTTATGATTGTTACATAATAATCCAAGACATATACTCATGATGGGTCAATCCAACACATTGTTCTCTAACAATATAATCATGAATCAATTCTGACATCTCTATGTCAATGATAACCCATTGTCATCAATCAATAACACGTTAGTCTTAAGCGTATTATTATTGTCCATGCCCATAATAATACTTAACTATGGATCTTTTAATAATGTTATTATATGGACTTTATTATCTTTCAGTTTATGTTAAACACATACATATAACTGAAAATAATAGTGGCAATGCCTTTATTCAATAAAATTGGTAAATAAATGTATTATTACAATCGTCATATGATTGATATTTGGGCATACTTTAACATACGGTAAAAAGACAGTATATTGAATAAGACTAAAATGACCCGTTTAAGGATTTAAAATGTCGATAATAAATAATTTTCAGTCCAGTGAATAATTAGTATATTGATTGACCTCAGGATTTGTAAATTTTGATTATTTTCTTTAAATGTTAAATGTCAAGAATACTTGGATAAGAAATTACGAAAATACCTTATGTAATAAAATTACAAAAATACCCTTATAATGCAAAATGACAAGGATTGCCTTTAAAAGTGGTAATAACTCTAAAAAGTCATGCTTGACCCAAAGAAGTTAATGTTTCACCTGTTGAATACTATATTTGTTTAGAGAAACCCTGATAATCAATTTGTACTCCTAAGATGGAAAAGTATACTTAGAATATATGATTCTTGAGAAAACGTCTGGAGACTAAATCAGTGAAAGTATCACTTACTTTTGAATGGTTCGAAATGATTGAATTATATAAAAAGAGTGAATTGAAAGAAAATGGCCAAAATACACTTAAGACTTGGATTAAATGAATGCCTTTGGATAGACTCTAGAAACATCGATAAACCTAAATGTCGTATTGCCCCTAAAGGTTATACAACACGACCCAAGCTTTCAGACATTCTGAATACTGTTACAATGTATAAATAAATAATATCATCAAAATAAATGTTTTCCCCTCGATCTGTTCAATGGTAATTTTGGTGGTGATCAGTCCAGCTAGTGCTGTCAGTATTAAGGAGTGAATATTCTTGAAGTATTTCGGTCTGAACGATTGGAAAAATCGTAGTGTTGAGGTCCGTTTAACTCGATTTGACTCAAAATCATGAGAATTTGATATAAGTTCG